ATTTAAGCTGAGTTCTTCTCTCTCCTGAAGCCTGTGTTACAGATATTGACTGAATCCTGTCCACTCATTTTTTTTTTTCCTCTTCTAGATTTCATCAGCATATTTTTGCGGCATCTTTTCTTTTCTTTGTGTTTCCTGCAAAGCTGATGTTTTTCTTGTCTGGAACAGTGCACAGTCTGACCTTAGCAACCCATATATTCACCTTAGCAACAAACTGCGATGTTGGCCGCCATAGAAACGGCAGTAAAGCTGTCATTTAAAGCTAGATTTATAAGAGATGTTGGTAAACAAGCCCTGTGTTATAGTCTCTTAGTGCTCATCAGCGAGTCTCATGCACTCTCTCACCTCAGGCTTTGTGGTTTAGAGAGCTTGTTTTAGGCTTTCAGTTGTAAAGTACTTTTTTTCTATTATTCAGCCATTATACAAAACAAAACTGTTGTTAAAATGCAAATAAATAAAACACAATTGCTGCTGATTAGCCAAACAATAAAGACATTTGAGTGCTAAACCAACCCTGTGGAAGTGTATCGCAGTGTGGGTTTTCAACACACAGGAACACATCCTGGAGATGAAGTGCACCACCTCATGACGTCAGCTCTTGGCCATGTGGTTTGAGCCATTGAAAAGCATGTAAGATGAAAATAAGCATGAGAAAAAAGAGAAAGAAGAGTTAAAGTATGTTCAGTTTGTGCCCTGCTTAAACCCTGAAATGTGTTAAAAATTTGATGCAAAGGGGGGCCTCAGGGGCGCTGTGGGGGGCCCTTAACAGTTGTTTACAAAGCAAGCACATAAAAAAAGGAAAAAATGATATAAATCGTTGAGTTTGCTACTGGAATACTTAATCATACTTATTTGTATGTCTAATATGTCAATCCAATCCAAGTATTCTTCCAACACAATCTTTGGATGGAAGCAGCACTACAGAAATGGTTGCTATAGACAATCCAGAACACAGTTTCATTGTGCATCCATCCAGATGTAGCTTGACTCATATCTCTCTTAACTGTCAAGTATTATTTTTAACATAACCGGAGGCGTACCTTGAGCACATATAGACTTTGCTTCTCACCGCAGTCCCTTGCTTCTGTCTACAGCCGTGATCTCATTAAAATGTGCAAAATGACCTCTTTCGTCTGCAGCCTCTCTCATCTCTCCTCTCATTTCTATCCCAGAATTCCCCACGCATCACCGCCAAACATCACAGACAGATACGGGCTTCGCAACTCTCTATCTCTCCCCCTTTTAATCGCATCCAAAAAATGTACCAATTTGGGACATGGTATCAACATAAAGAGGAAGTCCTGATGCACTTTCAGTTGTCAAGTCTTGATCAGCATTCAAAGTGTATGTTCTCTCACGCACTACGGCATGTGTGTGTATGGGGAGGGAGTCGCAGCTTAGTGAATGGTTGCCGGGTAGAACGGGAGGCGTAAGGAAGGAATTTGTTAATTATGAATGGAGCTCTTCTCTGGAGATTTGACCAGAACACTGTCACTATTTGCACATATGCTGCAGTGAATTGATGTGAGAGTGTAAAGGAATTTGTGTTCAGCTTGTACAAAGGTGAAATTGCAATTGTATTTTTGTTTTCTTGCAAAACTGAACAGCTCTTAATTGATTTGTTAACCTTGATTTCAAAGCGAACTAGAGCGTTGTAACCTTCCTTTTTTGGTGTAAATGTCTGTAAATCATAGTTTTGAATTTACTGATGTCATCATTTCAGATGGAACTCTATGGAAGATTTATTTTTTTTGCATAAATAAACAAATGTTCAACTGTATCATTATTTGTGAGGAATTGGCACCTGAAACTTGACAGATTCGATTTATGGGTTAAAGTTCTTTCAGACAACAATCATGTCTTTGGGTTTGAATAATGTCAGCACTTTCTAAACCTTTTGTGAAAACATAATTTCACTTTTGTTTATACTGACAGAGAAAATGTTGGATTTAATTTGTCTCATGTGGATTGGCCAGTAGTTACAGAGATTATTAACCATAAACCAAGTCAACAAATCTGCCAGAAGTGAAACAAGCAAATTTTAACATGGAATACGAACCTGTCCTCCAGCTCAATTTTAAACTAGGAAGTCTGTCTGGATGATGTGTTGTCACGGGAACTGAAACTATTGTACTATTTTAGACATTCCACTTAGAAGAATTATGGGCTGGCGGTGTATTTCTTGTGAATGGGATCCAGTACTGTCTATTCAAAGCTGAAGTGGATATATGAATGAAAGTAATAAATCACCTTTTCACAGGAGTTCTTATCGTGGCCACCATGTTTCTGGGTCATTTAACACAAGAAGAAACCATGTTGGAGCAGCATAAATCTTGTCCCGTATTAGGCTATTTGCACCCAATGCATGCATCATGTGTGCAATGACCATTGATTGAAAACTGATTGATCTGAGCCTATTCATTGTTAGACTTTGATTCTATATTTACATCACATGCCCAACCGATGACATGGTAACTGGACTAGACAATGTAAACAAAGGTCTTATCCAAGTGCATAGAGTATGCACCATTTAAATCTAACTGCCAACCCTCCAGTTAATTGAACTGTCCGTCAGGATGCACTTACGACTAGTTGTGTTTGTATTATACAGTCATTATCTGTTACAAATTGTCTTGAGTCAGAGTTATTTGTTATGTCTGGGGTACTAAGTTACTAAGCCTGAATCATTCTTTAATAGGGGCAACTACACTTCTGTGGGGTATTATTTAATATCGCAGTTTTTCCCTTTATTGATTTGAAAAGGCTATATTAGCAAGAACATATTCAAATGTTTAGTTTCAGTTTCATTTCAAGTGACTCCCCCTTCAGAGCTCTATTAAAACACAGTCAATCAGTGTGCATACTTCTAATTATTCTAAACTACTGCATATTGCATCAGGTTTGTGAAGATGTAGTGGATTGTTTGCTATTGTTTGTTCTTGTGTATTTATGAAAAATGGCCACGTGGGAACATGGATGGAGATAGACTTGTGGGCTGAGTTTTGGACAGGATCGTACTGCGTAAGGTGGGTTTCAACAGAGCCTGGGAGAGATTGCAAAATGACATATAAAACCACTTTAGGCATGTTTTTTGGTGAGAGAACAATGCTATAGCATGGTAGAAAGCTTCAAAAAGTTGATTTTGCATAATACCCTATCTTTAATACACTGCTGATTATCAACAAGTGAAACTAAACCAACTGGATTTAGCTTTTGAAGCAGATGTTTTGCTGGGATAGAGCCATATGAAGGATGTCACTAAAACATCACAAGACACCTCTACATCTGGTGGGATTCACAGTCACCGACACAAGCCAGTTAGTCCAGTTAGTTTAGTTTAACTCGTTGATAATATTCCTGGACGTCTCAAAATTTGCATCAGTTAACTATTTGTTCATTATTCATGTCATCTTTATTCATGCATTTGCAAGGATAATAAAGGCATAAGTAAGTTGTTATTATGTTTAATAGAATTTCTAAAGTCTCTTTATAACATTACCATTATGTTGATGTGTAAACTGCCCCTATGCAATAATGCCATCTCCCCCGGTGCCTAGTGTCTGTTACAGGAGCCTCTTAAGCTCTTGTCATAAACAGTGTGTCATCTAAGGAAATCCCGCTTGGCTGATCTGATCTCTACTGTTTACATTTGACTGGGCAGGGCCATTACTGTACCCTTTTAGCCATGTCTTCAGCCACTAGCACTTATACTATGTCTCCTAGCCCATTGCAAATGGATCATTCTTGGCTCTTGTTCCTCTGTTGGCTCTGCACCTGTACTGTCCCTGCGGTCTCAGAAGGCCTTGTTTGGAAGTTGGCGCAGACTGCCATCATTTAAAGTGACTTTCTCACCCGGGTCAGCTTTTTCCACTGGGATGTGCTATGGCTGAAAATAGACTTGTGTTTACAGTGGCAGGTTCGGCTCTCGTGAATATGGGTCACACACACTCATGGGGGAGACGTTTATTTGGATTGAAGGGTTTTAAATGTAGAGTGTCTCTGGAGCAGTGTATTGTAAACACTGAGTCGATAGAGGATGGTTAAAAGCGTTGTTTTTGGTTAATACCTAATATACTTTAGGTCTACTGATGTTTGCCTTTCCAAAATGTGAAGTTGTTGGTGTATTTCTGTGTAAATTACACTGAGGCCTGTTGCACCATTTGACTGTTATCTCCACTTAAAGGTGCACTGTGGGGTTGCTGCTTGTGTCCTTTTAGACGTTATTACTGTGCCTGGCATATTCCACAGTATGTCATTAAACATATCTATCTTCAGTCTAACTTAGTCTGTCTTTAATTAAAGGTGTTAGGTATTGCTAGGTATTGTTAGGTAAAACAAAACAAAAAACAGAAACCAACAAAACAGAGAAAGTCAACATTACTGTAAGCAGGTTTGCCTTTCCACAGATCTTACTTATAACTTGACCTGGTAAAGTTTTTTTTTTTTACTTACTGCTTGGTTTTACTGATTAAGGAATATATGTAAAGCCACAGTATATAATTTTTTGGCCCAAAATAGACTTAAATTCATGTTTTTCCATTTTAAAAAACATGCATCCTGCTCTGAGCAGATTTGCATCTCCATTTCTAAATTTCAATGGTATCTCCTTCAGAAAGTTACATACTGTGCCTTTATTTATTTATTTATTTTCACAAATGAAAATTTGAATGTGTACTAATGGTTATTGTAGCTTAAGAAATTTAACTAAACTGTATTGCATTGTAACTTGCACTTTTCAACCAGCCAGCGTCCAATAAACTTAAGTATAGTGTTAGTTATATTTTCTTCTATAAAGGATATAATTATCATTTGGAAAGTGAAAGCAACACCTTTTAATCCTTTCCCCAACTTGTAAACACCTTAATGTGCATTTTTCCATGTTATTACCATTCCCAGAGGACCACATCAGCCCTTAATTGGTAAAAATTGCAGAGTAAAAGGGCACTTGAGTGATTATTTTGCAATGGCAACTAAAATGTGGAACTGTTTTGTGTTTCCAGGGGCGACCCGAGATATTGGCTCAGCTCTGACCAGGATGTGCATGAGGCATCGCAGCATCGAGGCCAAACTTCGACAGTTCACAAAGTAAGAAAACTACTTTTAATAAATTGCTTCAAAATGTTGCTGTCATTCAAGAATTTGCTGTCATAATTTGAGATAGAAGGGATGAGGCAATATAACTTCATGAATTTTCATTGATTTGGAAGGAAATGTCTCAACAGAAAATGCTTACATACTGTATTATATTGTTAGGGAGTGAGTTCTTATATTGATCCTGTTTTTCAAGTCTGTCTGTTGTAATAATGTTTTAACTTTTCAATTTCAAGTGGACAAGTTAAAGTCCTATAGTACACAAAATTGACTCTTGTGAGCTTTAAGCCATGTAATAATGTTGCTTCATTAAAGATGAACATACCTGGTGTTGTGTTTTGTTTCAATCACACATGTTTGAGTAATCCTGGTTTATTAGTCTGTCTTAAAATGGTCTGTTCCACCTTGTGATGTCAGGAGGCAGTAGTTTTCAAGTTAACAACTACTTTTTAGCCCAGTTGAGATTTGCAATTCCTGATCTTCCAAATGATTCAAATGAAGATGAATGGCGTTTAAAACATAATTGAGCACTTTCTGTCCACATGACATCACAAGGTGGAACAGAGTGTTTCCTGTTTGAGAGAAGTGCTCTAAATATGAAGGGTTTGTCCGTTAAACATTTGTGAATGAAACAAAACACAACTCCAGGTATGTTTTAATGAGGAAACAATATTGAAACATTGATCAGAAAATAGCATAACATGGTCAAAAGTCAAATTCTACCATATGGTTCTGACATCAGTATTAAACAGCTGGCTCTTTAGTAACATGATGTCAATTGAATGCAACCTCATCTGTGCATAATAGATATATACCTCTGGTCTAGTTGCACGCATACCTGACCAATCAGAAAGCTTCACCCAGGACCCATGTTCAGCCATTGTTTGCCCTTGTTTCCCCACTCCATACATTACTCTAATGACTTTTCCACAGCCAGGCTATTACACTGATGTTAATGATGATTACGATATATGTCTACTGTAATGGGGCCCTTTGAAGGTGAGGCCAGTATTCCATATTGTCTTCCCTTGGCACAGGGTCATATCTACAGCAGCTGCGGCGCTTGATGGACTGACTCTATCTGAATGCCAATGTGCAAAGCCTTAGTGCTACAGAATAAGACTAGGGCAATTTAAAAGTAAAATAATGTCCTCTTTAAAACACACTTGTAGCAATTTCTAGGGAGATGGTTTGTGACCACATGTTTTAAGTTTGATTTATATAAAAATAACAGACACATGAAGGTAAAGTGACAGCTCTGTTTTGTCTATTCAAAATTCTACTTAATAACAAACAAAAGATATAAAGGAACAGAAAATATGTTAATGTAAATTTGATTTGACAGCCCTAAAATGAAAATACACACATGCAAACACTGTATTCAGAAACTTTGCGCTGCACACATTTTTTTTTCCCTTCTTTGTATGCATGTTAGTCTTACATTTTGTTATGTCTACTTTGTTATTAATGTGCTGGGTGTCCATTCCCTCAAAAATGACAAATTATAAAAAAAATATATATATATATATTTAATCAATTCTACTACTGCCTACTAACTGATACTTTGCAGTGACATCATGCCAGGGGTGTTCAACATGTATGTCTAGTGGCGGAATGTTCAGCAGTTACCATGGTGACTCAATGCACACATTAGCAAGTTCTGTTTCAGGAGCCTGTGATCAATATGAGCCTATATAGGTTAAAGTCTTAACTGAGAAACAGAGCTTGAGACAGAGCAGTGCCTACCGTTAGCACCACCTTCAAAGTATCAATTCAAAATAATTTCATCACTTATACTACTGCCTACTAATACTACTACATGATATGCTCTTATACTACCATTATCGACTGACATATACTTTATTAAGCCTTTATGAGGTATGGCAGTGACGTTTTAAAGTGAAATTCAAGTTTGTTTTTGTTTTTTTAAATGATTGTGTTGTGTGTAACATATGGTCTCTGCTAACACTTTGCTGTCCATTGCCCACAGTGCTCTGATGGAGAGTCTGATCACACCTCTTCAGGACAAGATTGAGGACTGGAAGAAGACTGCAAACCAGCTGGACAAGGATCATGCCAAAGGTATTTGGAATTCTTTACACTCTTTTAATTCTCAAAGTATTGCATCCAAGACATATGTAATCAGACACTGGGTATGATAAATTGTTCATTAAATGCTTACAATTTGACTGTGGAGTGGAAAATACATTATGCAATCAAATCCATTAATATTAGGTATCACATAAAAAGGGCCCATGTTACTCTTTGATTTTTGTCTGATCTGTTTTAATGTTGTTTACTCATCAAAATTAAACTGGAGCTTTGTTTTGTTTCATTTTCACATGGTTAACATACACATCCTGCATATTTAGACACTCTGCTCCACCTTGTGATGTCATGTGGTAATACAGGAAGTGCTCCACTGTGTTTTTAAACTCCATACACCTTCACTAGAATTGCCCATCTTTACTGAACTAAAGGCAAAAGGTAGCTGTTAACTTGCAAACTACCACTTAATGACATCGCAAGGTGGTACAGAGCATTTTGAGCTTTGGAGATATAGACAGACTAATAATAAGGTATGTTTTTGAAGAGATAACAATATTATTACATGACTTAAAGCTCACAGCAGTCAATATTGTGTAATACAGGACCCTTAAGAGTTTAGGAGTTAGAGTTATGGTATTAAGTCATATAAATACACTCATGGATACTTTATAGCAAATTATTCATTCACTCCACACATGATGGTAAGGTTCTGTTGTAGCCATAGCTTCCCTCAACTCCGTTTCTTAAAGAACATTTCTTCAAATTCCAGACGCATTGCTATAAAAAATATGAACGTAAACAAACCATTGCTAAAAATAAGTAAATAAATAGCCAATGCCCTTTGAGACCTTTTGAAACCCTTTTGAAAACCAAAGCCCTCCTCTGATCCTGACTTCAGACAGTTGCTTTATATTCTGTATTCACTTTGATATGCCACCTTTGTTATTCCACCAGGAGAGACAGTTTTCTCTGTTCACATGCCAAACCGACAAGCACTGCAAATATGTAAAATGTATTTTCATGAATCCGCATGTCCACAAATCATAAGCCCCATTCACACATAGTTCCCAGTAAATTCCCAGGTCAGGCTGCATGTGTAAATAGGGCTTTACAGAGCTCATATGACAAGTCTGAGTACTCATTGCACAAAAATATATTTAACATCATTCTATTGAAGGTATGAAATATGTAGAGATAATTCCAGAACTCTACCCCAAAACTTTCATGAATGCAATAGTTATGATTTGACAAATACCAATAGATGAAAACACACATCTGTTTACATATTTGTTAAATCAGTCTTTGATCTGGCAGAAAATGTGATGGGTATTCGTGTGAGAACTGCTATTTCCTATATTTTTGTACTTCTCAACTTGAAAATATTTATATTTTTTGTACTTTTTTCCCCCACAAACTCTCACTACGATGCATATTAACCACAAGTACTTTCCCACTGAGCAAAAATATAAATACCAAGAGATGAAAATCTGTCACTGTAACATCAAGACTGTAAAAGGAGCAGAGTTGTAGCCTCCACAGTTGTTGTACGCATTAGTTCTGGTAGCACACATAATTAACCCGGGCAGACTGACATTCCTCTAGCTTTAAGACATCTCTGTTGATTCTGCTTGCAGAGTACAAGAGGTCACGCCACGAGATCAAAAAGAAGTCATCTGACACCATGAAGCTGCAGAAGAAGGCGCGCAAAGGTATGAAGAAAAACATGAAGAATAAAAAAGTTGAATTTTGATACTGACAAGATCATTTTTTACAGGTATACTTAATAACATTTCTAGTCATGGTTATGAAAAAAAGATTTGTCACTCACTGAAACCAAGTGCTGCGCTGTTAGCTTGGAAAATGGGTGACTGGCTCTATCTAGTGGTGAAAAACAGAATAGCAGGTCATTCATACAAAGACTGCCAAGTGGTCAAGACTGTTAAATTGAAAATACAGATTGGCTTGGCCTTGAAGGATGAGTCTGATACATTCCATCAGTACAGTTTGTTTAGGTCAAAACTCCCATGCACAAACAGATTTATTAAAGTAAAAACCTATTTTGAGGAAGACATTGTTGTTGAAGATATATTCCCATTGTCCAATCACATTAATTAATTTGTATTTTTCTTTTAGGCTTAGAAGTCTTAAGTGAAAATGAATTTCATATTTTTGTCTAAAAACGATCCCCAAACCAGAATGCACTAGTAATTTTTGTGCTCTTTTAATAACTTGATCAATAATCATACCAGAAGTTTGACATAATCATTTAGCACCCTTATATTTTTTTATTTTTATTTTATTTTGCCACAGTGCTGCCTGCCTTGGATCCGAAAGTGACATCACACTTAACAACTCTACATAAACCATACATGAAAATTTGACTTATTTAATTTGACAGCAATTACAAGAATGAAACTTTTACTACTAATTATAATCATGTTTTTGGTTCAGTCTCATTGTAATTCAAAAGTAAAATTATACAGATTGATATGTACAGAAATCTGTAAGTTGCTCAGTGCGTTTGCTGCTCTCAGTTGCTTTTCTGATTTCTCTGTATTTTTCTGTTGCAGAAGTATGATTTGCTCTAACCTGTGCACTGTGACTGTCCTGTGATGGCTTCCTTGTACTAACCTTAACCATAAGTTCTGCTATTTCTGCCCCCTCTCTCTCTTTATTTTGCTCTTTCGCTCCCCCTCCTCCCTGTCGCTGTCTCCGTCCCAAATGTGTATCCCTGTTGTAGAGATGCAGGGTAAGTATTGCTCTTTTGTTTGCTGTTTTCACCTCTGACCTCAGTCACTTTATCTGCATGTCAAGCCATACATTTAGCAGTACATATCCACATTCAAAATCAGAATATACTACCCAGAGGAGTAATGGGGAGAATTTAGTATTCCCCATATTAAGAGTTAATTTAACACCAATTGTAAACTACTTGGATTGGTCTACAAGTGACAAATGCAAGATGATTTGGAAGTTTGTATTTCTGGTACCATAGTGTTTGTCACTATGGAGATGATGTTGCTTTGCCAGATTTTCTCCAAATTATCACATTAAATGTACTTGCATGTTAGTTACAGTGTTTTCCGCACCATAGGGCGCGCTCATAAGCCTCTAACCCCATCAAAAAATGACTGCGCGCCCCTCAATGCAGAGCGCCCTATACACGAAACCACTCGGGTGTCCCAGCACGACTTCAGTAAATTACAAAGCCGCACCACCCGCAGCGCACGCAAACGCACACAGAGCAGACAGTGACGGGGCAGCGAAACACACCCGCAGCCACACTCATCACTTCACGCCGACGAGGAATTGAATGGAGGAACACAACTGAACAACTGAGTCACTGCGAACACGCCAACAATCTAGCGGTCCCCAACAGCACCCTCCCTATGCGCCACAATTGAACAAAGCCGAGAGTCACCGTGAACGCGCCAAACAAAGCCCCGCTGAGCCATCTAACTGTTGTGTTTCGTTTAAAGTCTGGTGTGGTTTATTTGTGAAAAAAGTTTGAAAATAGACCATTCTATGACAGTGCACCTTATAATTCAGAGCGCCCAATAGTGCAGAAAATATGCTCCCACAGATCTGTACTATAATTTGGCCTGCAGTCAACCACCTGCTTATGTCCATGGTGATTAATGCCACACTGTGGAGCATTTCCAGCAAAGCAATAAGATCAAGTCTGTATGATTACACCAATACTAAAACATAAATCTGATACTAAGTACAAACAATACACATTTACATTTTACTACTTAAGGTTCAGACAGACATTATGCTCAGTAAGCAACAGTATTCTTGAGTGGATTTTGACTACTCCCCCATCTCTGGGTAGTGGTGATATAACACATTACATTATATTAGTCTCTCCACTTTACCGTGTATCACCTCAAAGTTTTCTCAGTAGTTGAAGCTCAGTAGGCTTTTAGCGACAGTGCCTGACGTAATCACTCCTGCATGACAAGCTGCAGTTAGCTTTGTAGTCACACCGGGTTTTTCTTTGAGTGAGACTTCTGCATGCTGGAATCCTCTACGGGTTTGCATGGCTTGCTTTTCCAAAAATGGCATCATCTATTCAACATGCATACTAAGCTAAAGTAGGTAAAGTTTTGACCATTCTCATATGTAGATCCAGAACACCATGTTGACAAGATTTACCAAGTAAATTAGGTTTAATTAGGTTTTTTTTTTTTTTTTACTATAGTGATAAATCAAAACTTTGTTAGTGTTGTACCTTTGTAGACCAAGCACTTTCATACTGTTTTGCTAAGGTGTATTTTTCACATTTCTTTTCAGATATTTTCAGAGATTTTCTAACCTAATATTGTAAAAATATAATTGTTTTATGAAACTTGCATGGTATCAAACAATATTTATAAAGTTATACATTTGTTCATAGATGTACAAAAGGACTAGACTAGTAAATCTTCATTATTCAGTTCTACCAATGAACCTTTGATTTTTCATTTTGGTGTAGCATTTTAATCTCAACTCAACTCTTGGATTTTGACCACAACACTAGTCTTTACTCTTGAATGTTCCCGTTTGAATCTGCCACTGAGTATTAAATCCTTACCACTGCAGGATAGGGCCGATGCCTTGGAGGATGTCTTGGACTCCAAGTGCTCAAAGTCTGTTTTAACATTCATGCCCCATTCCCTCATGTGTCCATTAATAACTGTACATTACTCTGATTCATTTTGGGGAGACTTGACTCTATTGTTCTGCCCTCACCTTGACCTCCAGTGTGCCCTCGCTCCCCAGGTCGTGGAGACCTGCAGCCCCAGCTGGACAGTGCCATGCAGGATGTGACAGACATGTGCCTGCTGATGGAGGAGACAGAGAAGCAGGCGGTGAGGAGGGCCCTGGTGGAGGAGAGGGGCCGATTCTGCACCTTCATTGGCTTTCTGCAGCCTGTGGTGGTAAGAGCAATCAATACTCAGGCTGTCAGAGTATTGAAAATCAGACACTAATCAATACTAAAATTGGTATCGAAAACTAGATACTCATTTAAGCAAGTATCAGTGCTGAAAAAAAAATCAAATCAAATCAAATAGCTGGATAAAATGTGACCTATTCCCTGAATAGTGTCATCTTGAATTTTATCAGAACCTGTGTGAGTCCATGTAATAAACAAATACTATTATTGTGTGCTGAAAATGACAATATTGTCTAAAAGAGTGCAGTAGTCAAATATCGAGTCTATTCTTTCGTACTGAATTGAGTTTGAAATGTTAGCGTCATGACTAACACTAATCAATACAGTGTTGACTATTTATTGAAGTAGTTTAAGATTTCTGTGAAAAAAATAGAACTACTATTGGGGTTTATTTACGCTGAACATTATCAAGTTTTTTATAACAAATCATGCATCTTCATCTTCTTGTGCCACTGCATCTTGCAAGATAAAATTGCCACAAGACTGTGCACATGTGGAAAATGAACTTTTTCTCCATGTGTTTACATGTAAAGAAGGTTAAAACTGTGTCAAAAGCAAGCAGAATAAATAAGCCAAAGTTGTGAGGCTAACATTGTGAACTGTACAGCAAAATGTATTCATTATTATGTATGTCTAAATTGTGGTTTATTTTGTTGTTGTTTTTTTTTTACTTTGCCAATAAGTTGTATTTACAGTACTACTTTTTGCTATTGCATATGCCTCTGTGTGCAATGTAATATGTGTATAGGTCAGAATTAGGTAAACTAGTATAGTGTATAGTAATCTAGCATAATTCAGTTCTGAGCACATTGGGTAATGCCATGATCACATACTTTTTACTCATGACTCATGCCATGTGTGTAACTTTACCTAAGTACAGACTGGTTTTACAGAATGGAGAGATCGCAATGTTAGGAGAGATCACACACCTCCAGGCCATTATTGATGACCTCACTGTGTTGACCACCGACCCTCACAAGCTGCCTCCTGCCAGTGAACAGGTAACAGCTTCACTTTACCATAAATCATATCAGAACTGGTATTACTGTTGAACAGAAGTGAAAGAAGCTAAGTGTTCTGCCTTTTTTGACTGAATAGGTGATTAAAGATCTGAAGGGCTCTGACTACACCTGGTCCTATCAGACTCCGCCCTCTTCCCCCAGCAGCTCCGGCTCACGCAAGAGCAGCATGTGCAGGTACACTCAAAATAGGGATTCTCACTGAATGCGTCATTCAAGTCTTTCAGAACGTGGAGTATGTGTCAGTCTTTGTGTACCTGTGATGCATTCAAGTATGTCAAAAAGAGGGGCTTGTTAAGGGATACTCATGATGCATACAGGTCGATCAGAAAGACATGATTGTCTCAGTATACACATGCTGTGTTCAGGCGTATTATTTTTTACGTTCATTTATAGCTAGAGATTTTGAGATTTTTAAACACAGAGACCTTGCATATTAATGAACATACAATGTAAACATACCATCATTAGCCAGGTCAGATATACTCTTGATGCATGCAGGTGCTATGAGAAACAGCTGTACGTCTAGGACTGTTCAGGACTGTACAATTTCAAACTAAATATTGTGTTATTAAGAGAAGGAAATAATAAGAGAAAGAAAGATGTTGCAATAAACAGGAAACTGAAACACGTCAATACTTGTGTTGCATTCACCTGTATACAAAAGCGCCGTGGATGTAGACATACTACTTGTGATGCATTTAGGTAACTCAGAATGGGTATGTATAGTACCTATACTTAGGATGCATTCAGGAGCTATAAGAAAGAGCATTTTGTGTAGGTATACTTGTGATGCATTCAGGTACCATCAGAAAGAGGAGCCTTTGTGTTGTGCGTTTGCTCATTGGTCCTTTGTCTCTGTCTCCTCCACTCATCGTTGCCTGTCACATTCACTTATAGGAAGCAGCAGACATACACCTGCACTTACTATGATGCTGAACAGAAACTCTAAATGTGGAGCTCTGCGCACTTGTGTCTTGAACGGCTGTTTGTCACTCACTAGGTCAACACGGGAACATATCACACTGCCTTGTACAAGTTTATATGCTTGAAATGTACACGTACACACACGCACACACAAAAAACACACACACACACAAAATATATAAAAATGTCCCTGGCAAAGTTGCTTCATTATGATACACGAAACATGTCAAAGTAAACACACACACAATATTGAGTAATACTGCTATATAAAGTGTTTATTGACCATTATATACTGTAAGTTGTAGAATAGATCATCATCATTATCAAGCTTTATTTCAGACTCCAGTGTGTTGTTTTCAAATTAACAGCTACCTTTTACATCTATTTCAACAGAGACTGACAATTCCAGGGCTGAAATGATCCAAATGCTTCTAGTAAAGGTGTAAAAACACAGTAAAGCTCTTCCTGTAGTAACACATGGCATCATAAGGTGGAACAGAGTATTTTCTGTTTGAGAGGAGAACTCAGCCTAAATATGCAGGTTTGGTGTGTGTGATAAGGAAACAACATCATAACACAGATCAGAAAATAGCTCAATATGAGCCATTTCAATTCAGCATTAGAGCACATTATTCTGGATCAAGCTCAAAGTGTTGCCCGATGCAAACAGGAATCAGCTAATTTGCATGGTAGTGCCCTGTTATTTTTTTGTAGCCAAATATGACCTAACCACATTCTGTGTGTTGTAAATTATCCATATCAAATCTAGCAATGGGATCTGGGGTACTTCTCAAGTAAATTTTAGGTCAAAATTGTTTTAAGTGCTGTGGCTTAGTTTAATAGAGGAATATAGGTGCTACAGGTTACAGTCATATTCATTTGCATTCTTTTATGTAAATTAACATACAATAATGCTCATAATCTCACATTATCTCTCCCCTCTCTCCCGCTTTTCCCCTTTATTACCTTTCTCTGATCCATCTCTTTGTCTGTCTGTGCTGCCCTCTTTCGCTGGGGTTTTTGCTTGCCTGTCAATTTTTTGGATCAATGCGCTGCCCTCTACACTCACTCTCATACCATACCCATACCCCAATCAAACACCTTCTTCCATCTCTCCATCCTCCTCCTCTGTCTGCCCCTCCCCTCTTCGCATCCACAGCAGTGTCAACAGTGCCCACAGTAGTGCCTCCCGTTCGTCAGGAGGGGGCAGTATTGCTGGGGGCTCTCTGCCTCACTCACCGACCTCTTCCTCCTCCTCCTCTTCGGTCCGGTACCGCAGCAGCCTGCCACACCAGCCTCCTCCAGCGGGGGGCATTGCAGCACACCGCCTCAGCAGCGTTTCATCACACGACTCGGGCTTTGTGTCCCAGGACGCCAACATTTACTCCAAACCGCCCTCGCCCATGCCCTCGGACATCACCAGCCAGGTAGTAAGAGTTTAAACTGGTGTTAGTAATAGAAAGGGTAGACGCACATTCTGGTAACTTTACAGGACTATCTTCTTTTGTTCTGCAAATGTCTCAAAGATCTCATTTCCCACACACACAGATTATGGAATGCTTTATTGTCCCTTTGAGGATATTATCTCTGTATTTGAGGGCAGTAGATGTTGTAGTAATATCTGCTGTCCATTTTTACTGTCCATAAAGTTTATACTTTAGAATTTAGAATTGAAGAAATTCTTTGAAAATAACACAAATATAATATAATAATAATATAATATATCTCTTTGGAACTAAATTTCCAAAGGACTGTGCATGGGTCCAAACGTTCAGAATTCCAATATACAACAAAAGCAGAAATAGGCACTTTTTGTATGAACATCCTGATGAATCAAAGAAATTCGGGGACACTGTAATGCTGGGCTTTCTCTGTGCAATTTTGTACAATTTTAAGACATTCCAAATGATTCCCAAATTCACTGTGCGATTGATTGTCATATGAGGAAACCCCAAACACAAAACAAGGATGTGTCCTCTGCAGAGGAATGGTCAGATGCACAGTCCTGTCTCTTACAGATGTATTTCCGAGCACGGACTTTACAACTCACGACAGATTTCAAACATGTCCATGCCTTTTTAAAACAACTTAGTACAAAGACCTGGAGCCAGATAAAAACATCACAATGCCGTTAAAGAGAATATTATATAACATAAATATTACTTTGTACCTCTAAATCTTCAATACCTCAAAATCAATGAAAATGTTCAGCCTTGAATGTCATACACTTTTATTTAATACACGGTATAATTAGATTTAGCCCACAATGCCACTTATGCTCTTTGTGCATTGCCTCTCAATGTATGTGATTTTTTTCTTAAGTAGTTCCATTGAGTCAAGGTGCTGCTTTTTCTTATTGTGCTGCAGAAATCTTCCAGTTCAGCTTCTTCTGAGGCCTCAGAGACGTGCCAGTCAGTCAGTGAATGCAGCTCGCCCACAACTGTAAGTACCTTTTGTCACCAGCACTACACAAGCCACTGGTAATCACAGAGTTTTATTCAGAACAAAGTTAAGTAGTGTTATTCAAAGCTCTGAGAATAACTCTGGAGCTGGAGTTCACATGGCAAAACACATTCACAAAGGCTTGTAGTTTTTGTATCACATATGTAACACATTTCTATACAATGTTGGAGAAATTACATGTTGAGAATAAACTGTGAGGGTAATTAAATTAAAACAGCCTTGCAGTCAATGAGCCCAGCAGGTCAATGGCAAATTACAAGCTTCTCATTGTGAATATAAGTGCTACTTATTTATTGCAATAAAGTTGACAAAAACACAAGAAAAAAATGATTTAAATTAAAGGGGCACTGTGCAACTTTTCTGGTGGAGGGTCTCTTGTGGGGAAATGTTATTGCTTTGCTGTAAATGTTCCACAGTATAGCATTAAACATCTACATTCGGATATATGGAGAGGTGAATCAACTCACAATAAGAATGCATTTTTTCAGGGTATGTTTTAACAATTAAAAGACGTGTAACTACATAAATGCAAGATGGACAAGTTTAATGCTATACTGTGAAACATTGCAGAGACGGCAATAACATTTCCATGGAGACAAGCAGGTTTCAGACTTCCCATAAGAAAAGTTAAACAGTGCAATTTTTTATGAATTCTTTAGGAATAACTATTGGAATGTTACAAGTATTATTTGCTTTTATATATTTTTATATTGTGATTTTAGTCCTTTGTTTAAATAATAATTTTATTTAATTATAATGTTGTTTCCTCATCACAAACAGACCTGGAGTTATGTTTTGTTTCACACACAAACCCTGCATATTTAGGCTGAGAAAAAAAAAAAACACAGCTTGTGATGCCATGTGATAATACAGGAAGTACTCCACTGTATTTTAATCTCTATACACCTTCAGTAGAATCATTTGGATGATTTAAGATCTGGAATTGCCAATCTCTACTGAACAAAGGATATCTGTAAAAAAAACAACAACTTGGCATTACAAGGTGGAACAGAGCATTTTGAGCTTTGGTTGTGTAGACAGACTAATAATAAAGGATTTTTCAAACGTGTGAATGAAACAAAACTCAACTCCAAGTATGTTTTTGATGAGGTAACAGCATTATAACATGGCTTAATGCTTACAAGAATAAATTGTGTGTAATACAGAACCTTTAATTCAGCATTATGTTTTGCTAACAATGACAAAAATTTAGTTATGAGTAGACTTCTTATTTTCCAACAACTTTATTTTTGGATTCAAAGTGTATCACTATTTGTGTTTTCCCTCACCTTGCTCATATTAGAAATTCAGTATCCGTACCAATCCAGTGACAAAGCTCAATTTAGGTGTCAAGATTTCTGGAAATGTTCTTACAACCCCCGCACAAAAAAACTTCGACGGTGCCTTTTTCTCCATTTAATTGGTGTAGACACAATAAAACCTGCATCACATTTTTATTCATGTGAAACCTTGCCTGTCTTCCCTATTTTCTTGAAAATCACATCTCGGAAAAAAAGGGTGATTTTCTATTGTGGCCGTGACGACGCAGAGGCAAAGTCAACATCCATTTCTGTTTTGCCGGAGCTTCTGTCATGCTCCACAGATTTCATATTTGACTGTGTTCACCTTCACTTGATTACCAGGCGGCATCTGAATGCAGTTTCGCAGCTCTCATTTAAATTACAAGCATTATCAGACCAGGTCATGTACTGCATTCTGTTATTGCAATCTCCCATTTGCTAAAACTGCTTTGATATGAGACTAGGTTTAATCAATAGAGAAATGTGGTAGTACAGAATTCTAAATGAATTGGACATGTTGACTGGCATGCATGAGTGGGGCCATATTAACATGTCCTGGCCTTTAGACAGTGATTACATGGAGCTTTACATTGTAGACTTTCTAGCTTTTAGTGACTTTACATTAATTCCATCTCTTATATTAACATATGTTCTAGACCTTGATCTTCTGTCATCTCTAAACTTCCTGATGTCATTCAGATCGGTACACTGCAAATCCAAAGAGCTACATGAGTTAAAATCACTTGAAATCAGAATATTGATCTTGATTTGATGAATTCTAGCTCTGGGGTGGACTCCGAGCATGACCAGCTCTCATGCACACGCCGTATTCATACTGAGTGATGTGTCTTGCCCAAGGACAGTTTCCCCTAGAGCCACGGCTGCCACTCTGTGAGATCTTGTATTCCCAGTGGTCTCTCATCCAAGTTCTAACCTGAGGCCCATCCTTTCTTAGCTTCAGACATCAGACAAGCTTGCTGTCTTACTCCTCAGAAAGTTTTTGTTTCTTGAAATTAAATTAAATTAAAACAATTGTAACCAGTCAAAAATACCTCGAAAATTCATAAATCTGGGGCCGAACCAGACAAATGAATCATACCCAAAAGAACAAGCTTAATATTCTGAACTCAAGCCATTTTAACATGTGCAGATGTTGTTTTTGCAGTGCAGTGTGAATAATGTGATGTCCATAGCATGTGTTGGCAAAAGCTTTCCCAAGGCCAAGGCCAATCTCTTGTGTTTCCTATCCTCTCTGATGACTGTCTCTCGTCCCGCAGTTTGGCTCGTCCTTCGCTACCTTCCGCCCCGCTCTCTCTCACTCTGGCCCCACCCGACCTCTTTCTGTCATTCTTCCTGTTCCTGCGTCCCCACCCTATATCCGCCCCTCTGGATCCAGCTCCTCCTCTCCCACATCAAAGGTTCCTATGTGGAAGGTTTGTTCCCCATACGCTTCCATTCTTCAGTTGCACCTTATGTCTTCTGTTCCATCAAAATTATGATTTCCTATTCTTTAATATTCTACTCATGTTTTACAATTTTATCATTCTATTTCATTTCTTATAATTCAGTGTTTCCCAACCTTTTGGAAGATGGAATTAAATAGTATTTCAATATACAGTTTTCTTTGCACTGCTTATTACATCCTAAAGACCTTTAAGAGAACTTGGCTTCTTCAGACAATCTTCAGACAGACCTTGTTACTATAGATGCAATGCCTTTACTGAGAACTGGGGTAAGGTCCTCATCTACTGTCAGTAGATTGAATTACTGTGGTAAAATCATCAACTATAGTGAGCAACATCATATATGAATAAAGCAAACTAGAAATCCAGGTATGTTTTTGATGAGGGAACAATTTTATAATATGATTCAGAGCTCAAAAAAGTCGATTTTGCAATTGTTGTCCATTAAAACAAAAACATTATAATGGTAAAATTAGTGAGTATACTTGTAAGATTTATTGTCTATTTTATAATCCCAGTTAAGGGGTCTCAGAGTGGGAGACAAATCTTAGGAATACTCAAGACAAGAAAGGTTGGAAACCACTGGCTTATATTACCATCTCCATTTGCAGATTGCTGTGTGTGCATGCATTTTATTTGGCGTTCACTCACTCCTTTTTCATAATACAAAGACAACATTGATAAAACCAAAATAAAAAAAATGTCCTCTGCCCACATACACCCACACTCCGGCACTCGCTCAAGCCGAAAATCCACAAAGAAAGCCCCCTGTCTCTACACTCAGATAAAGGGCTCAAAACTGCTGGATCGCGGACAAGTCTGCACCAATCCCCCTCCTCTGTCTGGCTCTGTTCTTAATTCCGTTCACCTCCTCAGGACTGGTCAAAAGCAGGCCAGTATGAACAGCCAGTGGCAGCAGCGGTGGCGGTCCAGCGGAGGAAGGAGCCAGTGGACAGGCTGAGGGAGAGCGAGGGGTCCCCCAGCGCACAGGGCTACGCGGGGCCGTCCCACGCTGATGATGCGCAGAGGGCCCGGATGGGGGCGGCTGCCGTAGCGGGCAAGGTGAGAATAGACTGGAGGTTAAAGCAGTGGTTAAATTTGAAATATTTTTTGTTTAGTTATGACTGTTTATGTTAACTCTTATCTGGAATTCACTTACATTTCCTATTGGGTAATAAAAAAACTAACAAAACTGAACAAAACTGTATAAAATAGAAATGATGAGATTGAAGAATTGATGGTAAATAATGTCTTTTTCAATGCAGTCCACAATCATAGTTTTGCAGATTATTTTGCAGATATCAAATTGACATTAGTTGTTTTGTTACAGATGTATTTTTCGTTGGTTTAACAGGGTTAGCAGATTGAGGCACTGTTATTAAGACATCTTATTGCAAAGGGCCCTCTCAAAGCTAGAAAACAGCACTGGCATCAAAAATCATACTAAACTCACAAGTTTAATATCAGGATTAACTACATTTTATTATTAATTGTACATTTTTGTAAGCTTATAAATTTCTTCAAGCTTATTAGTAAAATGAATAAATTCTGAAGCATTGTGAAATTTAATTAGGGACCAAGTAAACAAAAGTTCATTAAAATACAGGATTCATATAAATATAGTTTTTTTTAAAGTCTTTTAGGATGGTTAATACTAAATTTTGCATTTATTCAAAAGTGTGATACATGTATGTATCAGTAGCAGCTTATTGGGTTGTTAAACAGATCTTTTGTTTACTTTTTTTTTTTTTTTTTTTGCATGGCACCCTTGTGAGGACATGTTGTATTTGATTTCTTACTTTGATTCCAGCATGGGGACGAGGTATCACCTGCGGCTAGTGACTTGGCCATGGTGCTGACCAGAGGGCTGAGCATGGAGCAGAAGAGCAACAGAGACTCTCTACAGTACTCCAGTGGATACAGCACTGAGACGACCACCCCATCATGTTCGGAAGACACCATCCCTTCACAAGGTAACACCCAAAGAAGTCAGACTGCCTTTGAACAGAACAGATTTTAGAATGAGGAAAAAGGAATTACCAAAACAAAGAACTAGAACGAGCTGAAAGACTGTTGTAAAGTGTCTGTCACCATGGAAATTCCAACCTTATTACAAAATGAATTATGGATGAACAGATTGCTATTGCTGCCTCATCTGTTAGAAAAGCAGAAGAGAGAAGCAGAAGGCAGTGGTTCGATCTTTTAAACTTTTCAGTCAAGTTGACTTCACTACAAGGAGTTCACATTCTGCTGTGTTTCTGAAGCTTTGTTCCTGTGTCTTTGTCTCCTTTGATCCCAGGCTCGGATTATGACTGCTACTCTGTGAATGGAGATACTGAGGGCGCAGATGGACAGACAGAGTTTGATAAGTCCTCTACAATTCCACGCCATTCCAACATTGCTCAGAACTACCGGCGGATGATCCAGACCAAGAGGCCAGCCAGTACTGCCGGCCTACCCAGTGGAGTGCTGGGTCCTGGGGTTCACGGGATACCGGGGCAGCCTGGTGGAGCTGGTGGAGGAGGAGCTGGAACTCCTGGCACTGCCACCATCCGCCGGACTCCATCCACTAAACCTGGTGTTAGACGCACACTGTCCAGCGCAGGGCCCATCCCCATCCGACCACCCATTGTGCCTGTGAAGACGCCCACTGTGCCCGGGGACTCGCACTCACCCGGGGCCAGTGGGGGACATGCTGGGGTCCCTGTACGCACGGGGAGCGAGGAGTGTGTGTTCTTTGCTGGAGCGGAGGACTCACAGGGAGCGCTGGATTACGTAAAGGCATCACCCAAGCGCCTCAGCCTGCCCAACACGGCCTGGGGGTCAGGGGCCGCTCTGGAGGTCTACGCCCAGCAGCATGGCCTGGCTATGGGCACGGCTTCAGGATCAGAGGAGGAACAGATGATCGCTGCCAATCGACACAGTCTGGTGGAGAAGATCGGTGAGCTAGTGGCCAGCGCACACGCTCTCGGAGAAGGCCAGTTTCCTTTCCCCGCACTTCCTGATGATCCGGCCACACCACCATCTGGCTCTGGTGAGGCTCAGACAGGAACAGAGGGGGCAGAGGGAACGGGGGACATGCTAACCACCATCAGGAGAGGGGTGCGCCTCCGCAAGACTGTGTCCAATGACCGTTCAGCACCTCGCATCTTGTGATGAAAAACACGGGAAGTCAAGATGTTTGTTTGTCAGCCAGTGTAGTCAGGTGCAACTGCATAGAGATACACAAAATTAACCATGTAGGGAATACTTCAACAGAAGACGAATGAAAACAAAAACATACAAGTGTTTAAAACCATCTTTAGAGTATAATATATGAAATATAATAATGATAAAACATAAACATTAACATGCTGAGAATTCAAGTAAAATATTGACCGGCTTTAGCGGGCCACCATGACTAGTGTGTGTTGGACGCATGTGTGTCTTCAGTACATCCTCACCCAGGGATGGAGGAACCTGCAGGACAAACTGTGATGACGAGGAGTGCTTCTGGAGAGAAAGACTGGGTTCCACTTTCTAGTTATCTCAGTTGTGCTCTCCACTAACCGCTGGTCTAGTGCCACATGAAGAGACTGACGAAGAGGAGGAGAGAGGTGCCATGTGACTGCTGGATCTGAACCGGGCAAACGCACTGTACCTACGGCCCACTAGAACTCAAGCTTAGGCATTAGCATGGGGAGCTAACAGCCGCCGTTATTACACGCTGTGGGCATTGAGCCGTGCTAGTGCCCCTTCCCCTCTCTCTCTCTCTCTCTCGGTGCGGGTGGGCGTGCGTGTATCAGATAAACAGTGTGAGTGTGGAGCGAGTGAGGGGTGGGTCGGGCTCTGCTGCGGGACAGCTACAGGTCACCCATTGAGGGCAGGGCTTTACTTCTGTGTGTCGTGTGCGTATTTGCTTGTTTCTATCGTGACGTCCTTACCTTGTTACCACTGTAGTAATCCAGGCGTATAGATATTCATAATTATATATTTTCTAGAGAGACAATGTTAATCAGAAATGGAGCAATAAATGTGATTTATTTTCTTGTTTTGAAGGATGGGAGGGGACTATATACGTTCTCTTTTGCCACATCAGGAATGCTAAATTAATTAACTGTGAATTCATGCTTATAGCCAGTTTCGCAACACATCTTTTTCAGTCTTTCTCTCTGGGGTAGCCAAATTGAAGTAAAACAGTACGCACTTTGGTAGGTGATGGTCGAGTACTTGTAATAGCCACTAGATGTCGCTGTAGTCATAGTGTTAAAATGGAGGTGTAACCGAGAGAGGTCTGGATTGCCAATAATAAGTCTGCCCTTGACAAAACGAGTGAGGTGATTATTTAGTTTATAAGAAAAGACAGGAGGGATGACGAGGAAGTGAACGACGATGGGAGAATTTGATTGGTGAAATGAGAGATGGGATAAGGAAGTAGAATACAAATTTAGAGTAAACAAAATGGTAGCTGTGATCACAAAAGACATCCTAATATACTGTCAGTTTTACTTTGAGGAGAATTTGCGCCACATAACTGCTGTATACACACGCTGTACCTACATATTGCATTAAAGACGCTGTACCTGATTTTTACAGATAAAAAACAAAACAAAAAGTGAAAGCAAAACTAGTTCAGTTAAAACAGTTTAGTCCAAAGTTATTCCTCACTTTCCGAACATTCTATTTACTCACTACAATGAGTTTATGAGCACATTTCACAACTCTCAGTGAAACAACTAGCATGCTAACAGTGAACTTCCTGATTCTCTGTTAGCAAAACGCTTTATAATTAGATGCAAACATACGATACATTATCTCTGTACTGGGGCAAGACAAATTTTGCTCAAATACACGAGAAAAATAGGTACAGGTACAGGGTCTTTAATGAAAATGTATGAAACCCTGGATTGTCAGACAGTTATTATCTTTTCAATCACCACCTATTATGGCTGCGTAGTTAAAGTGCTTTACATTATGCTGTAGTCAAAGGCGTCGTGAATTTGCACTTTAAACGAGGATTCAGTTCAGGACATTGGAACGCACTTGATAACGGTTTTAAAGGCGATTTGGAGAGATGAGCAGCAGATGTCGAAGGAGCATTTCACTGCCCGTTATAATGGTATGTGCTGTAACATACTGTACAAGGCACATTTTTTTTTTTCATTTTAAAATCTTGTGTTAAATGTAAAAATGAAACTACAGTAAGTGTGAGACATGGGTGTGTGATGGACATAGTGGTTGTGACACTTTGATAAACTGTAACTGGCATCTTGTCGATATTTTGTTAATATTTTTATTTATTTTGTCGCTTCAAGTAGAATTTCTAATGAGGAGGTTGTTAAATTAAGACGAGAAATGGATGCAACTCTTACAGAAATCCAATTCCAAAAAAGTTGACACAAATTTTAATTTAAAAAGCAACAGACATTGTCAAATCTCAAACGTTTTTATAGTACACTGTGAAGACAAAAAAATGGGCGTAACATGTAAACGGTGGGCGATTTGGGTTAAGTGTTTTGCCCAAGTACACAGCAACAATGCGCAATGTTGGTAGAGATTAAACAGAAGTGGCTGTTTGAAATAAAAATCTTTGTTTTAATATAAATGTCTAGCCCTTTTTTGGAATTGGGTTTGTCCATTGGCATACACTGTCTAATCGCTGTATGTGTGCCCAGATGCCAATGTTGTGTAAAAATGAATTTGAAACTGGAGAGAGGGAAGAGCAGACTTGGATCACAATTTTGAAATAGCAAAATTAAGAATGCACATTTGGGAACAACAAATCTATAGTTGCATTGTATTTGAGCAGCTGTTGTTTGGGTAGAACTTTTAAACTGACGTTGAAGTGTGCCATTGCTGTGTCTGTTACATTACTACAGCTAAGGATGCTCAACAGTCCCGCCCACTTGAAGTCAGCTCTGGTTCCAGAAGTAAATTTTCCATATTTTTTTCCCCATACACTTTTCAAAAATTCAAATATTAAGAGTTCAAAGACATTGCGGAGGCTAACCAGCTATGTGGTAACTGATATCCAAACCAAAAAGCATGTTTAAAATGCAAGACGAAGGCGAAATGTTTTAATAACTTAGCAGTTTGTAAAGTTTCAGAAACAGATTTTGAATAAAGTTATAGGCCTCGTGGTCATTAGTCACCATGGAGCTGATTAACCCTGGCAAGCTTTCAAACTTTTTTTTTTTTAAGAAAATCTATTGGAAAAATGAATCAGAAATTGGCTTCCAAAACCAGGGCATCGCTGTTGAGCTCCATAGACTCTATTTGATGTTAAATGGAAATAGCAGCATTCTTATTTGTAGGTATCAACATTTCAACTTAGATTTAGAATTTGACAGTAATGTATCCAATGTCAATTATAGAGAGCAAAATAGCTGGAAAATGCAATTTGAATGAAGATTATACATTGTATTCCTAGATACTACAGTATGTTATTCCCTTAAAGTAAGAATACTGCTATTTAATTTCAAGTATCTTCGCCGAAACGTCACAACAATTATCGTAATACAATGTCTATTTGAGAATAACTGTGTACTACTACTAAATAGGGATGTAACAATAACCGAAATATCGTGATACTGTATCGTCAAAAGTCACACAATAATATTGTGGACCTTCACAATATACTGAAGTCTCTTTGCTTAAACTCATTGTTATGGTACAGCAATAGAGAACTACATAGACCATAATGCTTTGCTCTGTTTAAGTGCAGACTACATGAAGAAATAACTGCTAATAATAATAACAACAACAATTTTTTGAATGTTAGTTCTTTGGATGATGACAGAACCAAAGTCTTGTGAAGGCATTTAAAAAGAAAAAGCATATTCGCAAAAGATCACAATAAATATCGTACCGTGAGATGCAAATTGTGAAAATATCAAGAAATTTGGATATCGTTACATCCCTACTACTAACTGATGAACTCAAAAAAAGTACTTTGCAGCTAATTCTGCAGCTCTGATTATAAGTACTGTATGTACCTGTGTATGGGGTAGAATTAGACTTACCAATATACAACAACGGAAAATATTAATACAACAATACGAATTTCCATAGAGGCCATCGAAGTGCTGAGTAAACCATGCGTGCAGGCATGCGTGCTGACACATACATGCACAAAAGTGATTGCTTCTAGACTACTCCATGACTTACTATGACTATATACAAACAGATACTTCAAAATCTGTATGGCAACTGTAATGTGAGGATTTTAGGATAGTAGGTTAACACAGCTCACACAGTCTGAAAAATTCTGTACAAATATCTAACTTGTGTGTTTATGATTAAGAATTTGGACACATCTCATTTTGCAAACTATTGTATTTCACGTGTCACCTGATTTATGTATCGGTTTGAAGTACGTTTTACGTCAGATGCCCTCCCTTACGTGTTTATTCTGGTTTAAAAAGTACATTGCCTTGTGACCCCTGTGCATGTGGTTGGATTACTTTGTTACAATTTCAGTTTTGTTAATTTATGACATGTTTTAATTGACAATTCTCTTAATGCCTTTTTGCAGATAGTTAGCAATCTAAAAAAGTACGCACACACACAGACAAACACAGTACAGCTCATCAGACAGATATTGGCTACTAAAACTGGACGCATTTTAGTGTTGCTATCAGCTAACCAACAAATACCACAAAATGCCAAATATTTCACTTTCTCGGCCTCTATACGCTGCGCATTCACATTATTGACGATGAAGTTTCGTACCCAACAGCTGAAAAATAGACCTTTATATGCTTGTCAAATCTCCAATTCTTTTGAGCACAATCCAAAATAATAAGACAGCTCTCCAAATTGCCAGGAAAATAAAACCGCTATTGTATCGTTTGAGCTGTGCTCCATTCCACCCAGCAGCTATCCAAAAAAGAACGGCAAAAAATCTCTAATTTTGTTGCACTCGCGAGTAAAAAGCTGCTGAAATTGTGGAAAACAATGCAGCCTGAAAATATGACTAGCTTGAAAATATACTAAATTACACCAAATTTGACAGTGCATCGGCAGTAGCTTGGGTTCACTTGACATTGTTTCTGTCTGGAATGTTCCACAGTATGACATTAAACAGCTATAACTTACATTTATTAAATTACAGGTGGTTTTATAGCTCAAAAATACTTTGCCTCTCCTGTAACTTGGTCTGGTTTGGTCTCCATGAAGATAGAAACGTTTAATACCATACTGCGAAACATTCCAGACAAAGCAATAACATCTCCATAGAGAAAAGCATTTGACAGACCTTCAACCGGAAAAGTTACGCAATGCACCATTAATATGTCTGTAATTACTGGGCCTATCCGCATGAAACAAAACGCACAATACTACCATAAGTTTAAAAGAACCGTATGCACGATTTTGATTTTAAACTCCATAAATATGACCTATCCTTGCACCGTATACAAGGTAGACATGCTCAAAACCTATAGCTTTGTAAGAATTGTAATTTGATTCATTTAGTTCTCAAGGCTGTCCAATCAAAAACGCAGAATCATTTGGGTTGCCAGTTCCAATGTCTAAATAAACCTAAAAGGACTCTCTCTGACCTGAACAGTTCCTTTTAATATGGGGAATTTGCTGACTCAAACCCTCTCAAAACATCCTAAAGTCCAACATTTCTCCATTTCCTTTCGACAATAGTGAGTCTACAACCCTCTGCTGACATCAAAATTCATGACATCAAATTGCAGCAAGCCGCGAACGCAAACTATAGTAATGTGGACAATATCCTAGCGCAATCTCTGACCTGCCTCAGAGCCAGCGTTGGACTGTGCAGCTCTCACTTCTGTAGGCAGTATACGTACTTGTCCTGTTCTAACAAAAGAAGGCCCCCATTGGCACAGCTGCAGTTGCCTTCGGGCTGACAAACACTTGTTATGATCACAGTCCCACAGGCAGGCCCCGTGGCTTCAGAGGACATCACATCTAATAAAAGCAGGCCAGGACAAATATTACTCTCACAACAATATAGTCGGGTTTGTCATTCAGTTTTCACCAGTAATAGTA